GGCTTATGCATAATACCACTTCATCAACTTGTACCTCCATATCTAGTATTCTAAGACTCTATCTAGTCTTCAGGAATTATCTTGGGCTTGCTTGAATCTTGAATAGAATCTTTATTAAATCATATATTGGGCTTGCTTGAGTCTTGAATGTTGTTGACTTGAATCATCATCAAAATCATCTCTTGAGAATGTAAGGACATGTTTAACATTGCTTTCATATTGGAGATCACGTTTGGAGCAGTTTGCTAGCACATTGGAGCTAACCAATGTATCGGTCCAAATCTACACAAGCCCAAAAAAATAGGGCATCTGAAAAGGGTGGGAGCCTTCACACAGGTGGCTATATCAGCACACATGAGCATGCCATGCGTATGGTAAGTATTTTAATCATACATTTAGGATTTTGAAATATTTATTGGGTTTTATATCTCAAATTGTTTATGTAATGTAGGCAAATGAGCTTGGAAGATCATCTTTTATTGATGAGATCTTCCAACAGACTCATATTAGGAGGAAAACAGGTCAATTTGTTGATGAAAGATCTAGAAAGACACACGTGAGAACCTTCACGTTAAACTTTGTATATTATGTAAAGTTAATAATCATGTTAATAATTTATTTGTTTCTACTAATAGGAGGAATTTGAAACTAGACTTTCACAAGCTAGGTCATCTTCTAGATCTTGTGTTGGCGAACCTGATTCCACTCCTGCTGACTCTGCACATGATGAAGTTATAAGGTCCCGTTGTTGGTGGACATAGTTGGAGGTAAGAATAAAGGAGGAATGTATGGGGCTGGACAACTTGCTTATTGTTATCAAGGTGGTTCAAATAGCTTGAAGCATCAAACTCAAGCATCCAACTCCTTAGTTGACTTAGAAGAGATTAATCAGTTGAGACAACGATTGTCTGTACAAGAAGAAGAAATGCGTCAAATAAGGGAGCAGAACAAACGACTAGAGCACCAATTCAGAGAGTTTCAATCCTTTGTCGATCATCTTCTACCCCCACTGCACAGTCTCTTATTCAACAACGTCAACATAGTGAAGTAGATGCTGAAGAACAACCCCAACAACAACAATTGAATGAAGAGCAACAAGATAACCCACCATAGGAAGATAACATACCAGAACATCATTCTCCTGATTATTCTCGTTATTAAATGTTATACAAACATTTATAGAATAATATTTCAATTCTACTTGTATGTTGATACTCTTTTTAGGATTGTATATTATTTTTCATATGCATAAATTACTGTACATTTGAATTTACTTATGATTAAGTTGAGTTAGATTTATGTTTGATTGAATTATTGAATAGATTATTGAATTGGATTGGATTGAATGTTATTTTACAGGTTATATGGGATGAAACAAAAATATAATGGCTCTAGAAATAGAGATGGTTTTATCGATGAATTTACCGATGGATAATCCATTGGTAAATTGTGCGCATAACTGGTAATTAATGACGAAAATATCTGTCGGTAACTACTCATGATATTTACCAACGGAATAGTAAAATTCATCGATAAATATCATGGGTAATTACCGATGAATATTTCCATCACTAAGTTACCCACGGAAATATTTATCAAGCTTTATGGATACCCATCTAACTAAAAAAAGATACAACAATCTCCATCTACAATGTTAAGATAAACCTGTCCTTTTCTAAAATTATCAATCAAATTTCTATGAACTTTTTTACACCTTTCTAATTTCTTGAATTGATGAATATCTTACAATTTTTTATATTATTCCTAATTTTGAGCATTAATGGCTAAAGTTGTTATTGTTAACCCTTAAATTTCTACTATTTCATTGAATGATTGAATTATTAATTTTGGAGAAAATGCTGATGTAAATTTTTGTTTTTCTAATAAAAATGTTACTGTTTCATTCTTGCAATAAATTGGTTAAACTTTCTAAATATATATATATATATATTATTGTTTTTTTTTAAGCTTTTAAATTATATGTCCAGAACATTTCTACAAGTGAGTTTTGTATAGTTTGATTATATAATTACACTATTTGTAAACTGAAAATATTTTTTTATTTCTAATATGTTTAATTTTTATGTAATGGATTTCGTGAATTCTTTTAATATATATATATATATATATATATATATATATATATATATATATATGAAGATTTATCTTCACGAATTATAACAAAAATAATATGATATTTAAAAAGAAAAATATATTTAATGATATCTTTTTATTTCTAACAAATCAATTATATATATATATATATATATATATATATATATATATTTATAAAAAAATTTCACTTATTTTTTTATCCTAAATATTTTCCTTACTTCTTTAATTCTATTAGATATGAAAAGATACATAATTTAACTTTACAAAATCAACTTAAAGTGAAAATTTTACTCACATGTATATTATAATATTTTTATTTCTCTAGTCAATATGAGATTCCATCACACTCCTTCACCTTGAGAGGAATTGTCATGTTTTAATAACGTTAGAGTTAACTTTGATACATACTAGAATAGACACCACAAGAAATTTTCCAATTAGCTAGGAAAATTTGCTACAAAATTTATTTTTAGCTAATTTGTAGCTAATTAGCTATGAAATAATAAAGGAATAAAATTGTAGTTAATCTGTAGTAAAATAGTTAGAAGATAATATTTTTGTAGTTATTCCCTCACTTAGTAGAAAAATAATTTAGTTAGGAAAAATTTTTGTCACTAATCCCTAGTTATAAATATTAACTATGTTATTTTTTAAAGTTATTTCTTAGCTAAATTATATAATATAAAATCATAGTTAAATTGTAGCAAATTTATAGCAAAAAAATAATTATAAAATTATTTAAAAATTATTTTTACCAAATTTATTATAAATATATTAATTATATATATATATATATAAATTATTTGAAAATAATTATAATTTTTTGAAAAAATATCTAAAAAAATTGATAAATATTTAAAATTATTTTTTGTAAATTTTTTATAAATTTAAATTTGTAGGAAGTATTTAATAATTTAAATTAATAGAAAATTTTATAAATAATTTTTTTATAATTTTTTTAGAAATTAGTCTTTATAAAAAAAATTATTATATTAAAATATTTATTTAATTAAATATTATTTTAAATATAAACATCTTTAATATAATAAAAAAATATTTTTTTAAAATGATAAATTTTTATAATTTTTTAATAAAAATATTAAATTAATCTTTTTTTCCCAAAATTCCCTTCCCCTTTACCTACGTCTCCTTTCACTTTCAACGGACCTAGACTGCATTTGCTACCGCTTCAGATGCTCCCGTTGCTGCCGCTCCCGCTGTCGTTGCTCCCATTGCCACCGCTGCCACCGCTCCTGCTACCGCATTGCTGTCGTGCCGTTGCCACTGCCCTACAGCGCCACTGTCGGTACAAGTGTTTTATGAAATCTTATGTATTTTATGCAAACTTGTTTTGATTTGTTAGTGACTTTCTATGATAAAAGAACAGTTAATCTTAGTAGTAGTTAGTTGTGCCTTCTTCCGATTCTATTTAGTAGTTTCCAACTTATGAGTATTTTCCCTATTGTCCAGCGATTAGGTTTCATGTAACCTAGCAACAACGATACGGTTTATTTGTTCCTTGGGTGTTTTTATTTGATTTGATTTACTATGTACCTCTCTTACGTTGGGTTACTCACTGTAATTGTCATGGTTAATTAAATTTATTTAATCCAATTTAAATTTTCAATTAGAATTCACGAGCAGAGGGGGTTTGCTTAGTGGAATTTTCTCTGCGTCTTTCTTTTTGATAGAATTCAGCATATTTTATAATGGTAATTTCCTCTGTGAATTTGTTCTTGCTCACGTACCTATAATTGAGAACCAGAGGTAAGTCCTCGGGTCATATTAGTACTTATTGGCACATCACATACTGTCATACTGTGTTTTATCTCTATGGTTGACCGGCATGAAGTTCAGTATTCGTGCAAATCAGATGGTGTTTTTAATGCTATTTTTCACATTTGAGAAATGGATCAATTTTTCGGGCTCTTTCTGCATCACTAAATTTTTCCATTGACTATGCTTTTCTCAATACATGAGAAAACAGAAACAGGGAAATTATGTATTCACTGTTAACAGTTTTTAGGTGAAGTTAACAATCCAAAACATGTTAGATGACCTCTCTTGTCAGTTGAAACTTAAGTATTTGTAATTATATTATTTCTTAATCTTCAAGGGAATGCAAAGGGGGGAATATATATATATATATATATATATATATATATATATATATATATATATATTTATTTAACATAGTATGATAATCTTACACTTCACTATTTGAATGACATGATTTGACTTTGATATGACTTGGCTATGGATCTCATAAATTATGATATATAGATGAATCAATGCAATTCCATATCACCAATGCAAAAGAAAAGGAATGAGCACTATTAAACTATTTGATTATTCAGATGTTTTAGTTTCCTTCTTATAAAACAGGGGCTCTAGATGGTCATTTACTAATTCTATCTGTTGTATTTGGCTGTATCGTTGCTGCTTTACAATATACCACATTGTTATATATATATGATTGATTCTCTTCATTCTCCTCTAACACATATCTTTTGGGTCCTGAAACCTCTCTCTAATCGACCATGGCGAAGGTAATGTATATATACTCGTGAATTGCAATAAAATGTTCAACTTTTAGGGTTATTAAACTATTGAGTTTGTTCTTTTAGGAATTTATGTCTGTGCCACCCTGGCTTGAGGTGTTCCTATCGATTACTACATTCTTCAACGAATGTGAAGAACACAGTGAACATATCAGAAGGGAGTGCAACTTGTACTGTTTTGACTGTAATGGTGACAAACCATTATGCACATATTGTGTCAAATCTTGTTACAAGGACCACCGAATCATTCAAGTGAAGTGTTTAATTTAATTTCGTGTTTTAGTTTATTGATTGAAAAATTATATGTTGATGAGTTGAAGTGCAATGCAGATAAGATCTTCTTATCACGATGTGGTGAGAGTACAAGACATTGAAGATGAGTTGGACACAAGTGGGGTTCAATCCTACGTTATCAACAACTTTGATGTTGTTTTTCTGAACAAAAGGGGTTTTGACGTGTGTAGGACCAAAAAGAATAGTAAAAGTTGTAGAAACACTTTGCCTTGCGAGATATGCAGAAGAAATATTTCAAATGCTTTTCATTTTTGTTCTTTGGGATGTAAGGTTGGTCTTCCTCACTATGTTTGTCATCTCTTATATTTTTCTTTATATTTGTCAAATTGTTTATTTATGCAATGAGTTTAATCTTTATTATGCTATCAGCTAATTAATTTGTTAATAAATGTGGTTTTGGAAATAATTATTGTAAACATAAACATATTTATTATATATTAATTTGTTAATATTGAATGATAAAGTGACCATCTCGATGGCCAATCAACTAGTGGTGGTCAATCAACAGCCACCATCCCACCAATTGATGTTGATCAATCAAATGTTTCTCCAACGTATGATAACCCACAAACTACAGAGGAGCCTTTAAGTGAAAATTCTCATAATGAAGTTGATAGAAGACTTGTTATATCTGTGCAACGAGAACTAAACTTAATTATTAGTTATTCATCTTTATATTTCTAAATCATAATAATTTATACATTGAGAATTTTGAATTGTAGGAGGAGGTTTATTCCGATTTAGTAACTCGAGATATTATATCCGAGTTACTCATGAGAATGCCAAATCCAACACCAAATTTTTATTTGTGTAGAACAAGTATCGTTTTGCATCAACTTATGATCGAGTATGGCAAGAAAGATTTGGAATCTGACATGCATGGATCGATATTCTGACTCTTTAGCTAAGGCAAGGAAAAAGGCAAAAGAGAAGGCAAATTCAGATAATATTCAAGACTTAAAGGGTTTTGGACCAAGAAATATAAGGACTGAGATGTGGGCTGGATTAGTAGACATATGGGCAACAGAAGAATGGAAAAAGAAGTTCATTACAGGTAAGGTCAATAGGGTTGTCAAGCCTGATGCCATGATGCACACAGGAGGATCAAGAAGCTTTGGACAACACTTGAAAAAAATGGTATTCATACTTTACGCATTTAATACATTTGATCATATAATTGTTAATCAATATTGATTACTAGTTATAAATTGAATATTAGATTTGATGTTGGTATGAAATAGTTTTTATGTTGTGTTTCTTAAATGGTATATTATTGTTTGAATCTTGAATTGTAAATTATTTCACAGGAAGAAGAGCATAAACGTCCTATTTCTTATGGTGAATTATACAACAAAGTTCATAAAAAGAAAGATGGTGAATATGTGTCTAACAAACCAAAAAATTTCATTGTAAGTGTGAATATTTTATAAATATTAAATTTTGTTTGTTTATAGTATTGCTAAAATATTGATTTGATGTAGGAATCATATGAAAATGCTATGACTCGAAAAATATGGGGAGGATACATCAAATCATCCTATAGTTGATTCCGATATTTGGATAAAGACTGCCGGTGAAAATAAAAAAGGTAGAATTTATGGTATAGGTCGAAGTTTAGATCTTGGTATTTCACATGTTTCATCTTCATCAGTTGAAGGTCCCTCTTTCCAAAATCTTACCACACCTCTCACTGAAGAAATCACTACCTTAGCTACATAGATATCTAGTTTGCAAGAGCATATGAAAACACAGTTTCAAGCACAAACTGATATGCAAGCATTGATGCAAGCACAAATGAAGACACAAGCAGAAATGCAAACACTCATGCAACAAAAAATGCAAGAAGAAATGCAGTCTTTCAAGAAAGATTTATTATCTGCCTTAAAGAAACAATGATGAAAATGTATTTTAAACTTTGTTTCTATTTTTAATTGTGTTATGAACTTTTTAGTTGAAATATTATTTTTGTTATGTTTTAATTGTTTGAAACATCATTTTAACTATGTTTAAACAATACTTTTATATGAAAAGTTGATAAGTTTGTCTTCTTTTTTCAAGAATGAGTAATAATTTAAATGTTAAACATTTGATATTATAATGTTATGATGATACATTAGTAGAAGTATTTATTACGCCAATAAAATTGTGAGAGAATAGCTACGAATTAGCGAGAGATTAGATACGAATTAGCAAGAGATTAGCTATGGATTAGCGGGAAGAGAATTTTGATAATAATTGTGAGGGATTAGCTATGAAATTGTAAGAGAAACATTGCGAAGGATTAACTACGGATTAGCGAGGAAATAATTGCGAGGAATTAACTACAGATCAACTAGAGATAGATTGTCAAGGATTAGCTACAAATTAGCGATAAGAATATTGTGAGGGATTAACTACGGATTAGCGAGAGCGAAAGGGATTAGCTACGGATTAGTGAGAGAGAAATTGCAAGGGATTAGATACGAATTAACGAGAGAAAAATTGCAAAAGATTAGCTATGGATTAGCTACAACTTTTAGGAGATCAATTAGCTAGAGAGAAATAAAATTTCATCACTTAAATTAGCGAGAGACTTAGTGACAGATTGACGATAAAATTTACTACAAATTTGAGAGATAATACATCTCTATCTAATTAGCTACTTGGATTTAGCGACAGATTATTTCATAGCTATTCCGTAGCTAATCTGTAGCAAAACATACCAGGGAGAGATTAGCTATAAAATAGCTACGGAATGCGTCATAGCTAATATGTAAATTTCTTCTAGTGAGATAGATACTTAACTCAACCTTAAAAAACCGCCTCAATAAGATAAAAATTGTATTTATCTATATACTATAATGTTATAATACGAGGCACTAGTGGATCGAGCAGAGTGAGAATAATTTTTGATAGAATTTTTATTTGTTTCCGTATTTGATGGAATTCTGTTATAGAGTAGATTTGCTTATATCTACTATCATAAAAAACATTGTGGAAAGATAATTCAAAATTATTTCTAACTGTCTTCTGTGGAGGTTGGTTTGTCAATACACTCTCTCGTCTTGAGAAATTTTTTCATCAATTTTCCTTTATTTCTTTTATCACATTTAGACCAAAATTCTACAATGTTTTTCAAATATAAGCATAATATAATTAACAACACCAAAAATTGAATGAATATAAACATTCTATCAAGATCTCCAATGTCTCAAAGGAAAATCATAATAAAAATTAAAATTAAAGTTTTACCATGGTGATTCCAAGAAAAACTAGAAAGCTAACATTAGCATTGCATGCAAAAACAGGTTTATGAAATGAAATATAAACCCTTCACTAATAATAACAAAATGTAACTCAAGCTTGTTGTTAGTGATTAAGATTAATTATAAGAGACAAAATCAAATAAAATTTTGAATACATAATAAATTTAGGAATAAAAGATACAATTATAAGTGCACGGGCTTAATGGTATGTGAAGGTAACTGATGTAGGCAAGTGATGGTTTAATGACAAAAAGCTACTGAGATGTTTATAAGAAAATTAAACTACTATTAGTTATGATTATGGTATTTGGATTAAGTATATTCAATCATCTCATCTATTTGGGTTTTGGAAGTTTCTCCTTAATAAAATGTGTATTAGTATGCGCTCCATGTAGCTTACGTGAGAGGAGTGTGGAATCACATAATATTTATTCTTATATTTTTCCAAGTGTACAATTTAAGTGGTTACAAAATGTTATCACGTGGAGTTAACTTCTCCTCTATGGACATATTGCTTGATTTTGTTGAGAAACCGAATTGAATGATATTGCATTAGTTGTTATAACTAATGTTATTTAGATGATAAGGAGAATGAGAAATAAGTTGAGATTTGAATACGTGTGTATGTCTAATGAGTCATTATGTATAATTAAAATAAACATTAGGTTAGTTAATATACATTACATAAATAATATATACAGTAAAAAAAAATTATTCTAAAATATTTTGATATTCCTTTATGTTCCAACAAGACACCAAAAAAAATTGGTATTTCCTTTTATAGGTTTTATAATTCTAACATTGTGTCCTCATGTCTCAATGGGATGACTTTATTCATTGTTTAAATGTACATGTATTTTTAAAGTTTTACATATTTTCAGAGAAAATAATCATTATGCACATAAGTTAGCTAATCTTGGCTAAGAAAATAGACTATATTATGTTTGGTATGATCAAATGCAAGTGTATTAGGGATAATTTCTTTAGAAATAGGTTTGATTTACCAAAGTATAGGTACATTTAATTTTTATCTCGTGTTTAGTCTAATCCTCTCATAAACTTTGTATTCCTTTTTTTCTAATTTTAAAAGAAATGGCTAGTATTCTTGTAAACAATATTACAAGTAAAGAAAATTAATAAACACAAAACTTTATTATGATCTAGGAATTAGTTTTATGGTTGTCACTACTATAAAATCATTAATTTTCTATAACTTTTCCTGCAGAAAATTATTTACAAAAAATAGTAATATTTTTGTCTATAAAAAAAATTCACAATAATTATTGTAAATGTTATTATAATTTATTTTTCACAGAAAATACTTGAGGTGTTTATTACAAAAATTAATTATAAAAAATTTCTGCAAAATTTACTACAATTATATTAATTATAATTAGATTTTTTTGAAAAAAAAATTAAAGAAATTTGGCAGGAATAGAAATTATTTAATATAATACTTTTTTATAAATAAAATTCAAAAAGAATATTTACAAACATTTTAAAAAAATGCAACAAAATATTGTGCATCGTGGATATAGTAGCCTATCTGCACCTTTATAGGCACGCAAGCTCCACCTCCACTTCAATAGCTCATCGACATCCTCTTAAAATAGGAGTAGGATAATGCAGGTATCTTGCTCCTCCGTCAATTTGAGAAGTTTGATGTCACTCGTGATGTTTGTTTCTCTACTTTTTTTTCGTTTTTAATTACTGATCAATGCATAGAGTTTTTGGCTAATGTTGTATTGATTGCTTTTGATTTTGATTTTCTGTTGTGGTTTGGATAGGGTTTGTTGTATTATCTTGCTCCTTACTGCTGCAATGGTTTCTTTTGACATAATTTTTTTATTGCGTCTTTGTCTAGGTTAAAAAAAAATAAATAAATAGAAGAAATACAATTTTATAGATTTGAGTTTTTAAAGGAAAATACTATGTGAAGACTTTTGTATGAAAGTTTCCATAATTGATTCTACATCCCTCACATTACATCTTATTCTTTGGTTGAAGATAATTCAGGGAAAGTTGCAAGAAATTAGTTATGTC